TACAATACCAAATAGGTGAGCAAAGTGCGACTTGGACTAACTATATTATCGCACCCGAAAAATCCCGAAAGGTAGTCGATTATCGAAGAACGCTATCTGTTAAATTATTATCCGCATTTTTTTTTTAATGTAACAGTCTTACGGTTTTTAGTCCACAACTCGTAATATAGGTTGCAAACTATGCTATTCAAACTATAGAGCTTAAGATGCTTAATTTATAAGGAAATAACCCCCTCCCGTCAACGCATTATAATCTGGCAGATTGGAAATCTACCGAGATGCGAGCTAAGGTAAAGTATGTGTCATTCAACTTTTACAAACACCGAAGTCACAGATTGCATTTGTGTACAAGATCGGTAAAATGGCAAAAAATGTAAAATATTTCAGAAGTATCATAATTATTGCTAGTACAATTTCCGTTTCGTTGTCTAATTAGCGCGCTAAGAGGTCTTTTAATGCCATTTCCCAAGCAGCATATTACGACCGGCTCAAGTTTTAGCCAGACTGGGTAGCCGGGGAAGTTTCACTGGGCTAGACTGTTTTGCACCATGACGCTAGACAGCCCCATCCTGGTATGCCAGTCTGGCGACCACCGGCAGTTCCCTGTGTAGCCATGAACTGGCTTACCACTGGAATTATGGCCTGGGCCAGGCGGGAAACTCAGTGGTACCCCAAGCTTGGCTTTTTATTTTATATACAGCTTGGGGGGCCAGGTTAGTGGCCGGGTGGTCAGCCAAGCTTGGCTAGACAATAGAAATTCACCATGCAGTTAAACCAGTTTAACTGGTCATATTGACAACACACGTAGTAAATTAATAAAAGTCAATTTATTTCCACAAAAAATACAGCCTGCAGGCCGCAAAATAAACATGAAAACAAATGTATAATGCAAAAAACTTGACAAGAAATTATTCAAGTGTCCCAGGCGGTTGTCGAGATTTTCCACGACTTCTGGAGTGTCGGGGGGTTCCGGTGGTGGCTAACATAGTACCCCAAAGCATTTGAAATAAGAATAAACATCAGTAATTAGAACCATGGCAGATTTATTTGCACCCGTCTGTTCTAAAACGGTATGTAACTAATGCCACGAATAAAAAATATGCACTATCATAAACAGTATGAGAGGGAATATGGAAGCGTGTGCCAATCATAATGTGGTGCCAGTCTCGCGGCAATTAAGTATAAACCGCATGTAAGCGATTTGACGAGCCACGAGACAAGCGACGACGATCCGCTTCACTGTCGTTCGGTCACTCGCGCGACGCGGCAAACCGGATGAAACCGACGGGAGTAAGCGACCAAGGCGATGAGCGACGATTTCTCAAAATCCAAAAACCGAGCGATGCGACAAGTGACCGTGGGAAATCTCCGCCGCTCGTCGCTGACTCTCCTCGCTCGCTTAATCGCTTACTTGCGGTTCAGCCTTTACGTTGCATAGCGGACGATAGACTGGGAAGGCAGGAAGGGGGCAACAACAGCCGGATCCTCTACCACAGTGGTTAACCACTGCGGTAGAGGATCTCTGAAGTTCAATGTATACACTGGCGGTTGTATTACTAGCATAGCTGTTCCAAATTTGGTTGCGAAAAGGTTCAGTCTCACATGATCCTGATTATGAAAATGAATACAAAAGGTCCAGCCTGCTTACCTGGCTCGCTGGCGCCGAGACAGGGACAGCCACAGCGAATTCCGAACATGCCGTTCTGGGATGCAGCCGTTTCGCCCATGAGCGAGTGGAACTCAGGCGGAGGATGTCATCAGCCACAGGAACCATCGGCGGAGGCAGCACTCAAGGCACCGGCAAACTATCTTATTCAAACACAGCAACTTGTAACCTCCCCAAGCAGAAGAGCAGCGCGAACAAAGACCCAAGTTCGCGCCACTAAATTAATATATTTTTTTTGGGGACTGCGCCGCCGCCGTCTCAAGACTGGCGCTTCGAGCGGAAGCGAGGGTCGCGCTCTTTGGCCTGCGCGCTCCCTGTCCTCGCACGTGAGCAGCTCTCCTCTTTCAAGGCATTCGCGCTGCGCGCGGGGACACTGCGTCATCTCCGATCGCGGGGCACTGGCGCATTCCAGGTGCGTGATTCATCTGGGGTGCGGAATATTTCCCGTGCTTTTCCAACATCACGTAGGAGACTCCCCACCACGGACACTTGCGCTGGAAGTGGCTTCTCCGTGCAAGCCAGGGTAGATAAAGGCCGCTGTAAAAAGCGGGATAGTTATAAAGTTCGAGTTCGACCAATTTCGACAATTTGATGTCCAATTTGTCCGGTACAATTCCACTACAACAAGTTCATTTCGGGTTTAGCCTGTTCACATATCCAAACTGTGTTCAAGTAGTTGTTTTTTTTTTTCAATGGGGAAAACGTGTTATTTTTATGTCGCTAGCTAAAACAGACTTCTTGCACTCACATGTCGCTCTGTAGTGCGAGGGCTCGTGCCACAAAGCACCAAAACTATGTTAAGAGAACGCTCATGCGAATTCAAAAACAAGCTATAGAGAAACAGTGGCTTTCGGCGGACATTCTGGGTCCGATAAAATACGAACTTGAGCCACGGAACATTGCATAGCGGCAATTCCCTGACATTCCTTGGCTCACCCTAGCTTCGATCTGGCAACATGCCCGAATATTGGCTGTTGCTTGTGTTGAGCGGACCAGGGAATTCCTGTGAACCACCATGGAACCTCAAAGCTTGGCAGAGTCATTGCTACCCTGGCCATCTCTGGCTGAGGATAATCAATAGACAGCCAGGGTACATCAAATACTGGCAGCGGCCTGTTTACACTGGCCATCAATGACCAAGGAAATTGATTGGTCAACAAGGGAAGACGTTCCCTGGCAGTTCCGTGTCTTTCTGGAGCAAGGAAGGACTGTGAAACGCAAGGCTGGCATACAGACATGAATGGCTAGGCAGTCGTAGATAAGCTATCACAACTAAGGGCCAATCCTGGCCCCAGCTAAACCAAGCAAGTGTGCTACCTGGGTACCGATAGAGCTGTAGCTAGGCAGGAAGAGTTTGTTGTCCGCGGCTTCTTGCCGTCCTTTTTTGGACGAAGGGATTGTGCCGGGAATACATTTCCGACTTATATATTTAGGGTCCTATGCAGCCCTTGCACTAAAATGTTCCCGAATTACAACATAAGAGTTCCTCGTGATCTACGTGTAATATGACGCGTTGTCGCAATCCAGGCGGTTGCTCCTCTAAGTGGTGTGGAAAAAGACCACTAGTGGACCAGTTGCAAATGCGCGCCAGGCATTATGGTCCCTCAACGGGACGAGCATCTTTCGGAAGCTTTCGATCTCATAATAGCTTGTTGGCTCGCAGTATCATTCCTTTCCGTATACATAAGCTAGTTAAAATCTGGAATCCAAGCGCCCCCCCCCCCCCTCCTTTAAATGTGGTAACCATTTTATAATTTATCTGATTTTCTTCGTGCCTTTAGAGTCGCCGGCAGCTTAAAAAACGCCTGGCGTTGCAACTATCTTATCCGTTCAAAATGAACAAGATTGCAGCATTCGGCAATAAGGACGCCGAAGTACTAATCGCAAAGCAACGAGCGCATACGCAATGAGCTACGTTCTGTGGGAGCTCTTCACGGCGATAGGTAGGGGAGTACATTTGGTAGGGTAGCAGCCGATTCCCCTGGAGCGGTGATTGACAAAGTTCAGTTTCTGCTCCTTCAAGTTCTTATACACACCTGTACGGCGTTTGCGCAACTATCTCGTCGACATTCGGCTGATCGCAACATCGGGACGCCGCGCTCTTTGACCGGATTACACTATCCGAAGATTTCTTTCTTCGGGTACGCGAAGAATACACGATGACCCTGTTCGGTTGCTTTACCTAGATCCTATTTCTAGGGAATCGACCACACTCCTGTGATTGTGCAGAATGACGGTAGTTCTAGGAGATCGGTTGCGCACCGACAGGAATGTTGAACGAGGGCGGTCTTGGCGGAAGCCATTCGGGACTGCTTAACTCCTCGCCGGTCACAGGCGTGACGAATGAACCGCCGATTGCAACAATATTCATTTATGTTATGGAACAGGAAGGCGTTCTTTGGAGGAAGCCACTCGCTCCAATAATGCATCTCTCTCCTGACAGGTCAGATATTGGTGGTTAGCCGCCACATTAAAACATGTTCATGACCTATGGTCACAATTTTGAAGATTTCTGAATTTCTGGCTGCATTGACCCCTTTAGTTTAACATCTCACAAAAATGCTGCACAAGCGAGTTCAGAAAAAAAAATACTCACCAAATTAGCAATTTAAGCAGGTGCTAAAAGGAAGATTACATATATTTCGGTCAAAGAGCCGAGTTGAATGCCGCGCCAGTGAGACATCGACTCCCTTTCGTCACTTTTAAAAGCAAATATTTAGATAATAGTAACACAAAAAAAAACAACAGGAGCTTGATACCAGCATCTAACATTCCTGAACTCGGCAGATCAAACGTTTTTGTAATTAGTGCTAGCATATAAATAGATTGATTTAGATAACCGTATCTTCGATACAACATACTGTAATGAGCTCAATAAGGTAACTGACTTCCAAAGCTACGACTCTAAGTGTTATCCAGCACCCGCTAAAGTAAGCTACACGTTATACAAATTCAGTCAAGTGTACGGCTAACACGAGACAGGACTATACTGCACTGATCCAGTGTTGCGGAATCGTGAAAAAAGCAACGTAAGAACAACTGGAAGGTACAAAGGGAAACTGAACTTAAATTCACACATGTGAACATATAAAAAATATATGTCTCTATTTGACATGCAGTCAAATTGATTTCCTTTTCGTCTTTTTTGCTTTAACGTTTAACGTTTTGCAAATATCTAAAACAACGATTATGACAGTGCTGAATGTAGTCACATATTTGTTATAAATAAAACCGTACGCTCTTCTTTACAGTGGTGATTTTAGTGCTTTTATGTACTGCTATGTAAATCCAGCATCTTAAACAAGGCAATATAAACTGGGAATGAAGTTCTGAGTCACGTTTCACAAATCCACAGGTGATTTTGACGAGCTGGCTTCTCTTGTGGCTTGAGCGGATATCTGACTACAGCAAAACCAGATCCAGTCGTATTTTGTTCACTGAGCGAATATGTAACCTCCTCTTCGCCCGGAATAAAGGACACATTCATCTGTAAGTATAAAAATAGGATGCAGTTAGGATTTTTAAATTCTGAAGATTGTCTTGCGATAGTCTCTAACACAGCCTTAAAACGAGTTTCCTTCTTTAGCTTTGATGGGAACCATATTGAGCAAATCATTAATGATCATGAACTATTATCACAAGTAATGAATTAATCCGAAAGCCTCACGGTTATTGAATAGGTAAAATAAATTGACAACGTTCTTCGCTCCAACGCCTTGCAAGAATAACACGTTACTTAATATGTTGACGTCAACCAGCATTGGCTTTAAGGACGCGCGCATTTTCAACGTTGAAACCAACCGCCCACGGATACTTTTCTTGAAATAGTTACACATACAAACTGCTCTAGGAAGCATAAATATATATCTTGGCGCATTACTATCCGTCTACGTCTACGAGCATTGAGAGCCCCCCAAAATGCACCACGGTTAATGAAATGAGAAACGAAAAACTATTTTCTAAAGGCCATTAACACTGGATTACCTAGTAGACATAAAACGTGGGCTTCAAGGTAGGACTTGGTTGGGCGTCCCTCCTTTCTTTCTAAATTGAGCAGAGATATACCATGTGTATTACTGCGTCGATTTAAAAATTTGAACAATAAATTATGGATATACTGGACCTTTTACCCCTCAAATTTAATATTTTGGCTAATGTAAAAAAAAAAAAAAAAAATTCAGTCGATACAAAAGGTATTTGTGACGTGTGTATGTGCTACCGCCGCCGCTTAACCTTTTAATGTGCAGGGAATTTGTCAAGCTCCTTCTACAGTTTCTTCGTTCCCAGCCCCCACCATTGGTTGACTAATCCATTATTATATTTCCCATCTGCCTTGCCGAAATTCGTCAAGTCATGAGCTCCGCTTGGTAGTGCTCTGAATGTGCTGGGTGCACTAAATGCGCTTCGGTGATTTCCCACATCACATTGAGGCCACTGAGACTAAGGCAGTCAATGACACAGGGTTCCTTATCAATCCATCAGCCTAGCTGAGTGGAGTGTCTCGACTATTAAATAAGCTTTCAAGTTTATTAAATTGTACAGTTGCACCCTCGGCACATTGTACACACCACCGTTTTTGACGGAATGGGTGGCGATAACTGCACACCTTAATCTTCCCCACGATACAATAAAAAAAAATGTCGTACGTTGATATTTTGAAAATTTTCGAGCGTAAACTGTTGTTAGGTATTGCCTTCACCTGTAAGCGTGCATCTTTCCCAATACACACAGTACCCCATCTGCAATGCGGCGAACTGCGGCATACGGTACTACTACCGCCAGGTGCCGAATGTTCCGCAAAGCCGGATACGCACTGAGGGCGATACCCTTATCCGTAACGCCGCGCTCCAATTTTGTTCCATCTCTCAGCCAACATCGCCCAGGCGGGTGCACCAGGTGCGACGAGAAGGACTCTATTTTGCGCTCATTTTCTCCGCTCGAATTAACGGGAAACAAACCCGAGCTGGAGGGCCTAGATTTAGAAAAAAGGGAGAAACTAAAACGAGACAGAGCGTTTGCAATTTGATGGTGGACCGTCGTTCGCAGACTGGCCAGAAATGCAACTGCGTTGCGCTGTCGCGTGGTGTGGAGAAAAGCGGGCGGAAAATGCGCCCATGCTTGAGGACGACCGACTGTTCAGCTGGGTGATACTGGAAGTGTAGACAAGCCTTGAGCGTTTTCTTGTCTCTGGAAGTTGGCAACCTATCATTAAACTTTATAGTATGATTTACTGTGCCTATGGCGGGCACTATAGGTGGTAGAGTTTGACATCTATCATGATTTACGAGGAATAACTAAAATATTTAATGTGTTCGTGCTACCTATTTCGCGCGCGCGCATTACTATAGAACATTATCATAAACTGATGTTGGCTACGGTCTGCCGCTGAAACAATCGTAAAAACAGTAACTGAGCATTCGTGCTATTCGCATCCGGCACCTCGCATATTGTGCATGTGTTCAAGATGGTTATTTGCAGTTAAAAGAGCGCCACGTAGACGTCAACCATGTAAATCAGGTAGCAGTACATCAGCTGCTTTTGGAGCACATTTACGTACTAATGCTAATCACTGAATGAGCTTGCGCACCCTTCTTTATCACTCATAATTAAAGCCTTGCGTATCCGCGGGTTCCCCGCATATCATCCGCGAATATCCACAGTAAACTGGCGGCTGAGAAGAAAAATGAGTCAGATTTCGCGGATTGCAGATCGGATGCGCATTCCAGGGGCTGCGGTTGCGGATCGAATTCTGATATCCGCGGGTCCGAGTCTACATTTTCGCCGAGTCGGCCCACAAACGTGTGCGACCGCTCAGTGTAGTGTGAATACGCGAGTGATACTGTGAAGAGCGTCATCGAATGCATTGAGGGAGCAACCTACCCTTTAAATAAAGGTTGCCAATTGGGTGAAAAATTGTTTTTGGAGTAAAAATATATTTGATTATCACCAAAGACCGTTTCACAACGTTCAATCTCGTCGAAAATGTTGTCCTACAAAGATGTAAACAATGGAAGACCATCAGTCATCCCGGGAAACAGTGTTCTTCTTTGGCGGAGAGAGAGCAGAACACTTTTTGGGTCAAAGAAAACCGAAAACGTACAAGCCACAAGAGGGTAGAAGCTTGCAAGTGGTTCCTTCGCCCACAAGTAGATCGATGAGATTGAATTCAAACCTCTTAAGTGGCGAAACTTGCGCCAGCAAGGTTTTCCGTACCTCATACTTGTAGCGCAGTTTGTGCATGCCGCTCCAGCATCTAGTGCACTAACGGAGAAACCTTTCATTGGAGGGTATTGGGTACTAATTTAAGAGAGGCGAACAAGTCTGAATTCGTCCATGTGGACGATATCATGTTTATTTTACACAGCAACCTCGACGAGTAAAGCGTTGCAGGCGTGTGCGTTTTCCTTTTTTCGAGACTTGGTTCTAAGTCGTATTTAAGTACATGGCTCTGAGCATGCAGTTGAGGGATAGCGTTTTTAACTGAAAACGATAGAAGGTGTGGCCATTATTGAATATTGTGATATTTTCCCAGTAGTCTACAACCGCCTTACCACATGCACACGAATAATTTGCTGCGGTGAGTGAGCGCCTTCCCTCACTAAAGTTTTTATTTGTTTGGCCTGAATAAAATTATCCAACAGTATTAGTTCGTGCTTTGTTATTTTTCAAGCTTATAGTCTTTGCGTTGTCTTGAAGGGGGTTTTACAAAGCAAAAAGGAAAATAAATATTAACATTTTCTTTCTTGGAGCTCATTTTCTAGAGAGAGTGTCAGCTTTGTGGACTACCAAGACAATCTCATAACTGCGATCGTCTTTCCAGCGATGCCAAGTGCCTTTGGTGGGACGATCGCTTAATTTACAAATAGGATAAAACCGGATACGATAAAATGACTTTCCCCGTATTTTGCCTCGAAGAGTTATTTGTACCAAGCAAAGTAGACGGCTTGTGGATAGGATTCCGTGTTTTCCGAGATTATTTTTCGTCAAATTCGGGGGGTGTTTTTCGGGGTTTGTTTTTTCCCCGAAAATTCGGAGCTTATAGGAGTTTTTTTTTTTTTATTCCAAAATTTTTGAAATATTGCGCTTAATTTTGTCGTGTTTTTTATAAACATTAAAGTAATATCCGGGTGTGAACGCATGCTAAATAAAGAAAAATAAAACGCGCTTTTATATATTAATATTTCCTTTGCAGGACTTGGTGTTGCTTGCATTGCCATTGGCAATACTAATTTGTGCCATGGAAGAAATTTCACTCATTTAGGGCTTCGATAAACGTAGATTCCTTAAAAATAACCTCCTGGAGGCAGTCGCTCTGAAGCACGTATTCATCCTATCCAATTCCATGCTACGCCCCGCCCCGCGAGGTGGTTCGGTAAAGAATGTAATAGGGAAATTTCAACTGCCCCTCTTGGAACTTTATGCAATCTCCATGGTCCATAGCTTTGACTGCTACAAATACACGACCTCTCCCTTCCTCTTAAAACACAACTACTATGGCTCGAGCTGGAAACCAATACAGAGGCTTTTGCCGTGACCCGAAAGTACAATCACATGTCGTCCTGATCCTGGACGAGATGAGCGTCAAGGCCCCTTTTGTCAATGATCCGAGATTTGAAGGATAACTCTGTTGACATTTTCCCTGGACCATATACCCTGTGCCCTGATAAAACTGAATTGTAAAATATCTTGTATATTCTGTTTATTTGGGAGGCGGGAGCGGGGGAGAAAGATGGAGATCGAAATTCAGAGTTTAAATCCGAATTGACCAATGTTTTACAGGCGCGTGTTTTTCTGAGTTTTACGTATTTATCCAAAAAACAAACAAAAAACAACGAAACTCTAGTCATAGGTAGGACTTCGTGTTTTAGGAGTTTATTTTACGTCAAATTCGGAGGGTGTTTTTCGGAGTTTGATTGTTTTCCGAAACTTCGGAGCTTATAGGATTTCATTTTTGTCTGATTCAAAAATGTCAAAAATTCGGAGCGTAATTTTGCCGTGTTTTCTATAAAAAAAAAAAAAATATCCGGTTGTAAACGAATTCTACATAAAGAAAAATAAAACGCGCTTATATCAATTAATATTTCTTCAGCTGGATTTCCTGTTGGTGTCATTGCTATTGGCAATACTAAATTGACCCACGGCAGAAATTTCACACATCTGTGGTTTCGATAAACGTCGATACCTTAAAAATAAACTCCTAGAGGTAGTCGCTGGGAAGCACGTATTCATCCCATCCTATTTCATGCTACCACGGGGCCGCGCGAAATGATGTGGTAAAGGATGTAATAGGGAAGTTTCAACTGCCCCTCTTCCAATTTTATGCAATCTCTATGGTCCATAGCTTTAACTGTTACAAAAACACAACCTCTCCTTACTCTTAAAACACAACTAGTATGGTCCAAACCGGAAACCAATGCAAAGGTTTTTGCCGTCATTCGAACGTACAATGACATGTCGTCCTGAACCTTGACGAGATATGCGGTAAAACCCCTTTTCTGAATGATCCGAGATTCGAAAGCTAACTGTGGTGCATTTTCCCGGGACCATTGATCCGGTCCCTGATCAAACTTAATTATAAAGTACCGTCTTTATTTATTTTGTTTGGAGGGGGAGGGGGCATTGGCCCATAAAAATTCGGAGTTTATCGGATACATCCGAATCGACCAAATTTTTACCGGCGGGTGTTTTTCGGAGTTTGACGAATTTATCCAAAAACACGGAACACTAGTTATAGGATACCATCCAGATGTTTTTGCGATTTTTTTAATGTTTCATGCATGATTTATATCTTACTGAAAAATGAGTGCGCGGATTGAGGGTCGGACGCCCGTTCCGAATTTTGTGGATGCCGTTCGAATAGGGTGCCTCGGACGCGTCTCCGACTGTTGTATTTACCCCGTCCAAAAAAGTGGCCCCTTGATTTCAACCTGATGATGTCATAGAAGTGTCCTGCTGTCGCCGGTCGCGACCCTGGCGGTGTTCCAGCAGCCGTGGTGGATGTGGCAGACCACTGTTCGGCTGCAGGTCGTTCTCCATTGTAACAGTCCACAGAAGCTAGAGCAGCCGGAAGTCGAGACGTCTGGGACGCCTAAGAGACACCGTGACAATCGCGACACTCGCGTTCGCTGGTGCTTTTCGCCAGCATTTCTACGACCAACCATCAGGATCGCCACACGCAACAGCATGACACTCCGGCTTCTGTGACGTCATTTCTTGCTGCTTCGGGACCACTTTTGATCTATGGGCGGGATTGCACGCTAAGCACACGAGTCGGAGACTCGCTCCGGGAACCATGTTGGGATGGGATAGGGATACAATTCTGTAAGAACATTGCGGATGCGGTTCGGAAGCTGACACGAAGTCTGCAGATGCGGATCGGATGCTGATGATCAAACTGTTATCCGCGCAGGGTTTTACCCACCAAGCCCAACGTCCCAACCCCCCCGCCCCCCCCCCCCCCCCCCCACACACACATACACCCCACCTCCCCCACTCCCGTAACTTTTTGCACTGAAATCTGCAAATGGCAGAAATTTTACGCGTCAAGACCTAATCTAGTTCGATTTCGTGTTTGAACAGTCTTAACTCCGCCTGGTGGGAAAAGCAATAAGAAAGCGGTACTTAGTAACTCTAACAAATTTCTTCATCGTGTTCGACGTTTTGAAACCGGCTCCGCTCCTTGTTCACGGGTGAGTGGATGTGGTCCCAAAGGTCCAAAGGTCGCAACCTGTCATTATACTCTTACTCTCAGCATTTCTTTTTTATCTTACATTTTTTTTTTGTGTGTGACGCATCGCATCCCGTGTATATAGAAGCTTGCCTGCGTTTCGATGGATCGGTTCAGGTTGTTCGTATTCTTTATCTACCAAGATTGTAATAAGAGCTGTCTCCTCCAGTTCATTTATCTTTTGAGGATAGAAATGCTGTCGAACGATGACATCACCGGACTTCCCAGCATGTTCCGCCAGCGCGCGGCCTTAAATGTCCTACTTCACCTCATACTTATGTATGCGCAATCTTTTGTCACTCGCGTGGCACATGTCAGGCACTACTCTACCTGAAAAAACCCACGTCTTAATCAATAAGATATTTCACCTCCTAAAACTATGCCAGACAAACAGCTGATTTTCGTTCGATGGTCGCGTCTACAAGCAAAGGAGTAGCACAGTCATGCGAGCTGCAATAGTTGTCATGTCTGCCAACCTCGCAACAATAGACGCCATGGAGCAAAAAGCCCTAATATGTTCTCCCCCACACCTTCTCTGTATCTACGTTACATGGATGATTGATTTTGTGTTGTCGAGACCAACGAAGTTGACCGCCTTCACAAACACCGCAATTCCGTCGAACCGATTCAATTAACAGTTGAACGTAAGTCTTACGGTTGTCTTCTATTTCTGCATCTGTCTGTGAAAAAAACAGGAAACCATTTAACCTTCCATGTATAGAGGAAAGCAACGCACAGCGGTCGCTACCTAAACTTCTCGTCAAACCACCCCACAACTCACAGATCATGTGTACCCTTAGGGCTCTTTCGAAGTGCCCTCACGGTCTGCTCGACAAAAAATGTACCTAAAAATACCAGTAGTCTTTACAAAACAAGACTTCCTAAAAGCAACTACCCAAGAATAATTTGTGAACAAGATATACAGGAAACTACGTCGCCATACAGCAGCCAAGCACACGTACACCTCTAGTCGCATGTGCGTCCGGCACCTCCTTGGCATGAATGAGGTCCTCGCCTGCGCTCTAGAACAGTACGGCATCAAAGTTACGAAAAATCCCCATCTTCACCACAGGCCATCATCTTCCGATTCCAAAAATCGTCCCACACAGAAAAAAAGCTTAAGGGTCGGTTTACCGAATTCCTTGTGCTGAATGCGACACCTCGTGTGTGGGGGAAACAAAGAATTTTTCGAAACATCTCTGCATATATGAATAATGAGGTGAAAAAGGACATCTAAGGAAACTCGCCGGTGTGACATGCTGAGAAGACCTGATACATCATTGCCTTCGACAGAAGTTCCACCCTTGACAAATAAAGAAACTGGAGGATACGGCTTTCGCTAAAATTTTGGCATACACATAATGCGAAAAACAACTTGAAACAATGCACCGAAACGCTGGCAAGCAGCTATATACACGGGCTGCAAAACGTCACAAAAAAAAAACAACAACAACAGAAGACAAGTAAATAAGCATCGGGGAAAGAAGGAGACAACAATGAAAGATTGCGACCTTTGGAACCTCATAAAGTCATCCGTGAACCAGGAGCCGAGCCGGCGTCAAGAGGTCGGTCAAAAGGGGAACAAAAAAATTGGGGAGTGTTTATTAATTTCCCCTTTCATATCATTCAATGGTTCGACTTTGTTTTAAATGTACTTATAGATCTTATCTCTAAGTACAATGAAAGCCAGCAGAGCAAAATTTATATTTTAATGGCGGAGTGACAGCTGTCGGGAATTGACCGAACCACGGCAATTTTTTTTTTTTTACCTTAGGGATGGTGCAACCAATGCAAACAAGCACTCAAGCGCGCGGTTCCGTGGGAGATATTTGCCAGAATTAAGGTGCCGGCTAGACGTATTACAAAATTTACATAAGTAGGGCGAGTGTCGCGCCGTAAGTTATGTTGATCAAACACGCTGAGTACAACTTTACAAATTGCATACCACTGACCTCGTCTGCTCTCGCAGTCGGTCCTTGGTAGTTCGTATATTACAAAGAAACGAAAATTCTACCGAGGGCTGGGATATACATACAAATGGTTGACGGTCTGAACTATTCCAGATGGGAACCAAAACACATTTTTCTGCCCTCCCCCGTATTGTTTGCTTGAAAATTTGAAATGTATTAAGAAAGGGAGGGTTGCTAGTTGCGACGCTACTGGTTGACGGGCCGTTTTTTTTGCATAAGTCTGCTCCAATAAATATAATATTTGGAAGGTGTTGTCTCTGTTAAAGGGATACATTACTAGCAGCAGAAAAACACGCGAAGGTTTTATGCCTGGCAGCTTCATCGAAACGTCTATTCTTCATTTGGATTAGGCGGGATTTACCGACAAGGGGACGTTATGTGACAACTTACAAGGTCCTCTTCAGAAATAAACTTTGTTCTCATCCAAAAGCGAAGGAAAAATGGACTTGTGAGATGAATGTGTTTTTTGTAGTTCTTGTGCCCACCTGTTAGAAAGAGAACAAAATATTGTATGAGCTCACAAAAATATATCGTAATAAATTGTCCATAAAGAGGTTCCACTTCCAATATATATTTTTATTAAATAAAATTTATGAAAATTCCAAGAAAATAATCAATTGATTTTGTCTGAATTTTGAAAGACTGCGATACTTTTTATGAATCAATACATCACTACAATTCGATATTTAATGCAATAAAGTACTTATGATTCAGAAGGTATTTGGATCCAGAGGGTTTAGCGTGAGTGTACTCATTACGTGAAATAGTGGCTCTGCCTTGTGAAATTTTTAGTCAGCTATCAGGTAGTGCATTTGAGTTAGATAGGAACAAATGGCGTGGAAGGTGCATTAATTGTTTCTTATGAATAACGTTAAACCGTATCAACCATCTCTGAGACTGCTGAAGGTGAGCGGGTTGAACATGAATACATAAAATTGGAAGAATAAAACACGGAGGGGACAAGCACAGGACAACCAGGTTGTCCTGTGCTTGTCCCTCCGTGTTTTATTCTTCCAATTTTATGCATCTCTTAGACCCTCCTAGTTTTCGAAAATTTTTCTATATTTATTTTTACACGTGGTTTCTTAACTAATTGTTTTTCAAAGCGGGGACCGTTCTTTAAATACCGTTCGGACCATATGGCGTTTTGGCTCGGAGGAAATTATGTGGTGAAATTGACATCACAATAAGAAGCATAATTCAAAAATTACTGGCACATAATCTTCCTTATCATATATGATCGGTCATATAATCAATGCATTCACGACTGATAATGTTGGGGGCTAAAAAAAATACATTTCGTTAAAAAGCAAAGTCCGTAGGGAAATTAGTACATTCGTTTTTGCGTTTGTTTGAGCTTATTTTGATACTTAAAGAATGCACGGGGCTGCCGGAAGTTCAACCGAAGATAGGTATCGGTTGTTTTGGGCACCACGTAATTATTTGTGGAGTTTGTTTGTTGAGAATTTCCCGAAAGCCAGGTAGAGAGATAGCTTCGAGGTGTCTTTAGGAACTTCCTTCTATCGCATATTATACAGTAATAGACACCACCGCCGGTTCTTTTTTTTTTAGCGTTCAATTTTATATTCAGGCTAAAATGCACAAAAAATAATCAACGAATGTCTTAAAATCCGCTGCCTCTCCGTAAAATGTGTGAATTTTTATACAACAAAAATTTGTATCTAAACTGCAATTTCAGCATGATCATAAAGTGAAATATAAAAATATGCGTTTTCCATGGTGACGTATAATGGCAACCAGCAAGCCCCATGAGGACGGCATTCCTTGAAATGTCCCCAGTTTATTTTTTGTTATTTTCAAAATAACACAAATCATGCGTGCTCAACTTTAAAATCTGTGTTATCCACCTCGTTGGTCAGTTAAATTCTTTTTTATATCCATGGTGCGCGTGCATTAGTATACTTAGAATAATGTATAAAGGCTTATTAAGCTCATCCAAGTCTCAGGAGTATCGCTCTAAAATATTAGTCTTGCTACTGGTCACCAGTCTTTCATTTTTTTTGCTTCACAACAGTGATTATGTTATTTAGCATGCATGTGCCAAACAGCAAAAACATTAGTTTTACTCCACTCCTAGCTTACTTTAGAACCTGAGTGGTTTACAACACAAATCGATTATTTCGCGCTTACCTGTTAACCGACTGATAAGGAGGCCAATTACGATGGTTATCAAAGCACTGAAGAAGCTGCACCAATACGGAGACAAGCGAAGCAGATTAAATCCATCGCTGACTCTGAAAATGTGTTTCCAAAGTAGAAAATGTCTGGTCAGTTCAAAATCACTTCAGTTACAAAAGGCTGTTTGCGTTGGACGCAATTTAGAGAACCCCATGAATTTATAATATCCCGCAAGACTTATGAAAAAGTATTATCATGCACATTGGTTCATCATGACATTGATTGCTTCGTTGACGCTTAGAATACCAAGAAAAAACAAACTACAATGTTCGCTTTATTTAGAAAATTGTGGCCACTTATGGAGATCTCATGCGTATGTATCCCTACCTAAATAAAACATAAATGAGAGCAAAGAACACAAAAATACGTACCAAAATCCAAAATATATGACGGAATTTCTGAACTGTATGGGGCAAACTATTCTTTCAAAACAAGTCACGCAATGTAGGTATTCAATTGTTGCCCTAATTAGTAGTGCATGCCTTATTCTGATACATTTGACTGCGAAAACACTACAATGGCTGCAGTAGTCAGTGCCGAATGAATCTGTTTGACGATAATTACGCACATTCGCAGAAGAAATATCTTATTGCGTATATCGAAACCTTATTATCACGAACGAGTTATCTTTTTAGATACAAAGAAGTTTAAACCGATTGTTTTTTTAAGCCACAAATTTATGGAAGCGTATCTACAGGGTGTCACAAAAAAAAGTTACAGGATAATATAACTCTCAAAAAAAAATCTCGTCGGATTTTGAAAATGTCTTCAACTGGTCACATTGTTGTGCTAACATTTCAAGTCGGGACTCCGAGTCCAAAGGAAATTGGGAAATAAAAAGCGTTTTTTCAACGGCGGAGCGGCAGCTGTCGGGGAGACACCGAACGACGGCCATGTTTCTTTGCCTTAACCAGAGATGGCGCTACAGATTCAATGCACGCTGACTGGACGCGCTGAGTGAAAAAGCGCGCTTTTATCAGTTTTTGGTTCCGATGGATATTTGTCAAAATAAAGTTTAGTGAAAAAGCGCGCTTTTATCAGTTTTTGGTTCCGATGGATATTTGTCAAAATAAAGTTTTTAGGTTTTCAGTAAAGTTTCACTGAGCAGACAGTGTCATGCCATAAATATTAATAAATAAAACCGCCCAATGCTGCTCCAGAAATGACGTACCTTCGTCTACGACGGGCCTTGTCTCGTGCATCATCTGCTTTCGCAGTTGGACTTTTGAGTGAGACACGAGAGGCCGCCAAAAGTGCGCCCGAAAAAGCAGCGATGTGGTAGCTCCGAAGAGAGCCGCTGAAATCTGAACTGTGGTCTTCGTAGTTGCGGTCAAATACTTCATTCGCACACTGCAACCAGCTTCCAGTAACCAGTGTTACAAAATCCGCCAAGATTTTTTTTTGCGAGCCATATTTGATTGTAAATTTTTTGTGACACCCTGCATATGCCTTTACAAACAAGAAATAACAATATGAACACTAGGTGATCGTATAAAATTTTATTTAATACAAAAAAACATGCAATTTTGAGCATATGGCCAACACTTTGCTAAATTAACCTACTTTTTTTTTCAAATTCCAAAACTTTAGCGATCGATATTTTATGGTTTTGCAGCTAATGTTACGAGCATAGGATCTATTGAGATCGAGATCTCCACGCTGAGCCAGGGGTAGCTCTACCAGGGGCGCGTCAGGTACTGACGAGTATGGGAATTGTGTGAACTAGCATCCATGCCTCCAGATTTCTCAGAAGGATATCTTGTTGGTTTTAGTTGCGACTATGCTTTTGCGGCAGAGTGTAGAACCGAATCTAACATCAAACCAAAAACCAGAGCACACACTGTAGTTTTGACTAAACAGGAAGTAACCCTCTACCAAAACCGAACTTTTCATATTGAGCCCAAACCGAAACAAACCCCTATCCTCATGGGACGCCTACCGGTTCATTGAAACACGACAATTAATAATTTATTCATTAAAATGTACTTCGATTCTTCTTTATGCTGCTTCGTCACGCTCAATAGAATGAACCACTGCAGTGCATTATTCTAAGCAAGCTATTCTAATAAATGTGTCTGGTTCGGCGTAATAAAGTGTAATTCGTGCCGGTTTTTGCGGGTTGTGGCGTTAACTCAATTAACTACTCGAGACGGTATCATCAGCGGGACACTGTTCCCTGAACAAACGGCAACGACGTGGAGACAGCTGAATACAATTGAGGAGAACATGAATATTTTACATGTATGTGCTGCACGACTTGGAATCGTCGATTTGGGGGCAGATGTAAACTCTTATATATGATTACGCCAAGAGCCTTCACAGTTTTTTCGTGCGCGTGTGTGTTTGTGTGCATGTGCAGCCGTGCGTCCGCGTGTGTGCGTGAATGTTTGTGTGTGTACATGTACATGAAAAAGAACTCGACGGCTGTCAGTGAGGTTTTGTTTTGAAGGTGCAAAACATGAAGACGCCAGGAAGCGAAGTCAAAAGGTGTGCGACACTGGGGCGCCGGTCGCTGCTACACCGATTTCTCCGTGATCCAAATGCTGACTGGGAAAACAATTTTTGTTGTTGTTGTTTGTGTTTGTGTGCGTTTCCAATTTAGTATGCAGCCCATTTACGTTTCTCTGTTCCTTTTTTACTGAAGAATCATTAAACCACCAATCGATGACTTTCCGCATTTTAGCTCAATCATTCCAGGTCTTTGAAGCGGGCAGTTAGCAATAACGGTGTGTTCTAATACCTGCGGTGTCACTCTGGGTGCTGGCTGGTTGACTTCAGCTGTGAGTACATTTATTTATTTATTTATTTATTTATTTAAACATTTAACGGGCAGTTGGATTACCAAGAAATTGGACTACCAAGAAAATAGCTAGGAATGGTGTTTACGTTAAAAAGTCAAGTTCACAAAACGAAACCAAAGATATATTCATATTGATGATCTCGTTTTCCCAGCCCCGGTTCGGATGACCACATTGTTGGTAGTATTTTGAAGGCAGATGATTTCAAGTGAACATGTATCTTGTTATCAACTGAGAGGTGTATTTCTTTTCTTTTGTATAGCGCATGAATTGCAGAGGATGCCGCAGTCTAAGATGCAGAAATTAACCAGTATAAATCACGTCTCGCTTGGTACGGAACCGGCAAACAAACCGATATTTCAAATGCATGACTGAACTGGAACCGATCCGGACAAAAACAAAGCAAGTGCACCGGAACCCGAAACAAGTCGGAATTATAACCGCTCCGAAAACCTGTTTTAAAACCGTTTTTTTGTGTGTGTGTGCGTTTTTTTAGAATGTTTAGATTTGCAGTTAAGTTCAAAATTAATCATAGCGCACGATCACTACCCTACTGAGAACTAAACGGCGACGTTAATTCGTGACGTTCCTGTGTTAACGAGGAGTATAATACTCTGCCCTAAATTGGTTTAAAAAACTGCATGTTCCAATTTTACGCCACCCGTCAGGAAGCGATAAGGTTTTGTCACGAGAGTACCTAACATTCATTCTGCCACTATTCACGTGGTAAAACCAAACGACCTGTTATATGAAGATGTAAAAAATATGGAACCGCTCCGAGACGAAAATAGATAAAAAAAAAGAAAGAACAAAGGACATCCCCCTCGAGACATCCTTACACTGGTTCACATTCTTGGAGCGAAGTTTAGCCAATGTGGTATTACTGCTGAACATAGATGTGCGTAAATATTATGTGATGCATGACCGCACGCGGGTACATGCAAAGCAAAACCTATAAAAACGGCAGGTTATGAGCGTATTATTGCAAACAATTAATTATTATAAACTAATTTCCCTTGTACACAGGGTTGTTCGCGGTGCACCATCATTTAATCGTTTTGATCATCCTATATTACCACAAGCAAAGAACACGGGATTCTTTGGATTGGAAAATTGAGATTGCTACACTATGTCATTAACTTTACGACGATATTCCTCTATTTGAATCGCTTATTCCGGACCGGTCACAGTCATGTCAAAAACAATATGAAAGAAAGTTGGGCGAGTTGGTTGATCATCTTGCATGGTGGGAACAGCAAAAATTTGACACCGAACAAGGAACGAGAAGTGCACAGGCACAGCTCCGACTATCAACTGTGTCAACTCAGGGTTTAATTTCCAGCGTACCAGAAAAGCTAAAAAAAGGGGGGGGGGGAGGGGAAGGAGGAGGAGGATAGGAGAAAAAAAAACAATATAACCAATAAAATAATCCTACCGCGCCAAATCATTTTAACACATGCCTGCCACCATTCTGATAAGACGTACTTCATCAACCGCCAGGAATACCGACGATGCTTTAACACATTCGTCTTTCCTGTCTTCCCCTCCTGATATAATGAAAGTGCTTCATATATTTCTATGGCAGCCTTTATTTAGGCAGCGCTAATAATGAACTTGAAGCTAAACATAACCCCCACCCCCCTCCCCAAGCCCAAATTCCCTGACACTGTTTTTTTTTTGCTTTTTTTTTTAAGAAATCCGTCATAATGAGAAAGAACGGGAGGGGAGATTATTTCTAAAGAGAACTGACCTCCTCAGATTACCAAAAGGTAATGACCTATGGATAAAGATATGCATGTGAATTTTATTCTGGGTGCTTGCATCGTGTGCCTTTCTTTGGTTTTGTTCGCTTGACCTGTTATGTTCAGCAAATTGTCGAATGAGGATAACAGACGGCCTCTAAGTTTGTTTGACAAATGGCATGGCGGGCATTGGGGAAGTGCTGGTTTATGCACCAAAACTGATAATGCTGCAACGGTCGGCGCTTACAGCCCTGCTTAAGAAAGAGTTTATGTTAATGTAGAGATTTCTACTCTAATTAAATATTTCAATATCCTGATTTTATGAGTGTGCGGCGCATTAAATATTATGCCATTCCTAACTACCTCACGAGCAATTACTTAGTGTGAAGTCAAGCTCTTTGAAAGAGGCCCGAGAACCTAATAGAACTGAGTGACCTTGCTCGTTTTAACACTCACTCGTTCTCGATGAGATAGGTTGCGTTTTTTGTCAGGGTGACGTTGTTGTGGCATAGGTCAACAGACATGGGCATTCGTGTTGACGGGTGGCCTTCATTTATTCTACTTAGTGAGTGCCACACCTGGAGTCCGGTTGAAAGCAGTGCGGAGCCTGCAGCGCCCTACGTGAATTGTTCGAAAAGAAACATTTATTATCGAAGACGTTCGTGCTTTTAAGATAGGCAGCACTATATTTATTTTGTGCCGGAGTCTGAAATACAAACATAAAATTATAAGATGAAAGTGAAATAGATTGCGCGTTATGAGGTAGGTATGGTTGTTGTCATGGAATTTGTTTCTTTATTTTAGACCTAATATTACGTGTCGAATAGACAATAAAATGCCGCCTACCGAATGACTTCTGCTCAGGGTTCAGTTGCAACAAAGTTGCTTTTGTCAAGTTTGTCGCTTTGTGTAGAACAGTGTAAAAATATCGAACATAGTGTTAATAATATTTGAATCTTGATTCTCAGGTAAGACAACTGAGGGTTATTATGATTAGTATGGGCCTAGTGGTGAAAAGGGAAGGGGGAGAAGCGAGAGGTTAAGGAATGTTTAGTATAGCACTTCTACATTTAAAATATTATATGGTGTCCGATTTTTTTCTGTGTCTAATATTTTAGTGAGTAAATAAACAAAATGGGTTGCCTTTCCCATTCACTCTAAACAATTAATACAGATATTTTGTATTGTATTTTAGTTTCTGTATGCACTCACATAATACTTTTTTTTTCATATAACTTCCACTTTAGAACAAAAGTTTGACGAAACGAGCCGCTATAATTTCTTGCACATGAAAGTACTTATTCCTTCGCTACTCACCGTGGTGTTCACCCAAGGAAACGCAATCGCGAGAAGAAATATTCCGACAAAGGGACCTGTAAAGCCACTGTAAACAACTACGAATACCTGCAAAAAAACATTTACCTTTTTATGTGTCGAAACATTGATGGTATAAGCTTTCTTAGGTAAAACATCTTTCATTGCTACATTTTTCCAGATTTAAGTTTATTAACCATACAGGGTGTTTCAGCGAAGGCTCTAAACACCCGTAAAAATAGTCAATTTGAGAGAAAAAAAAACTCTTTCAGGGACGGACTGCCAGCCGCGACAGCCATAGGGAATAGAAAACAAAACACATGATAATTAAATATATATAAATGGAGAGAAAGCAAATGAACGTAGTGGAGATATTGGCAGTCTCGGATATAAATAAATAAATAACATATTTTATTTGTTTCATTTTCAAATTACTCAAAATAAACGTTTGGATATAATGAGAAACTTTCTAGACATCATCGAAAACCACTAAATTAACTGATTATAAGAGAAATAATGGCAGGGAGAGCATTTTAGCGCCTTCCAAAAAACCCGCAATTGAGACGTCTCTAGGTTTCGGTTACTTATCGGACTTTAAATACTGAAAGGTAGTGCAATTTCCCTTCTACTTGCATTTTCCTCTCTTACATCAAGGGTAATCCTCCTTGGCCTCCTTCCGCGCCATGCCCCCCACCTCCATGTTTGTCCAAAGCCCACAAGACGCGCGCCCTCGTGCCGCACCGCACTTGTTTGTTTTCCCATTTGTAGCAGAGATTTCTTTTTTTTTACTTTTTGGATTATGAAGACAGTTTTGCTTTCTAACGTGGAAAAACTAGGTTCGCGCACCTTAATTTGAGTTGTAAAGCAAGGAAAGATGTATCGATCGGTGAATGCAAGAACCAACCAGAGTCGGAATCGCTCGTTTGTGAAGGCAAGCTTTCTCCAATTCTGCTGAACGCAGACGATTAAAAAATGACAATTTTGCCTTGAGTATTTTTAGTCATCGGCATGCACTGCAAAATAAATTGCGTTTACCCGCTTATTGCAGCAAGAGTTGAGAGAAGGTACACATAGCATGTAACTCTCCATGCGTGTAAATAGAGTTTCGTAGGCAAGGACTGCGTCGCTAGAGGGAACTAGCACCGTCGCTTTGAGCATGGATTGAGCAAGTACTCACAAGGCTCGCAATCCTGAGAGTACGCTCCACTAAACCTTTCTAGTATCTTGAACAAAGGGCATTTGGACATCTCCCAGCATATACATCCTCCCACAAAAAAAAACAAGAAACACAAAAAAAACAAAAAGGAAGACGTCACAAGCACAGCAAAACAACCCTTTTTGTTCAGGATGTCGTCATAAATCATAAAGTTCTCGTCTCATAATCGTATTAGGCGATATTCATCGGCGAGACCGAAAGGAACGTGTAATCCGATCTAGAGTTTTACAATGACTAACCTCGCAGAGTCTCCCTCAGAGGCCGTCGAAACGTCTCCGAACGATCCGGATTTTGCCGATCCGACGGGAAATATTTGATTTTCCCATCGAAACGGCAGAAGAGTTTCTTCCCTTTCGCAACGCTGTTTATACAATCAACAGCGCTACATAATGCCGCCAAGGTCAGGGTAAAACAAAAAAGAAAAAAAAAATCCTACGGCTGGGTTGTAAGCAGTCTTGTACACGCTACTAAAAAAAAGTAATCGATTACAATTACTATTACTCTTGGCTAAAAAGTATTCGATTAGATTACTTGATTACTCGACGGCAAAAGTAATTGGACATTACTTAAAGAAGTATCGTTACTTTTCCGATTACTTTATTGTGTAAAGACACATCTTTAGCGCTCATAACAATGAACTACTTCCAACCTATATTTCACATTTGCATAAGTATTGAAGAAGAAAAACTGGCTCCCTCTTCGTGGTCGTTGCACCTTCACAATGCGGACGCAAGCATAGAATTCGTTTGAAGACGTTTAATGATTTGGGCGTTCGCCAGTGTGTGTGTGTGGAGGGGGGGGGGGGGGGGGTGAGCGGAGGGGTTCTAGATCTTGTTAAGCTTGAGCAAGGTTTGTCGCTCAAAGTTTGCGTCGCTCATTTTATTATTCACATGTGGATGAGCTTGCATGTTATAGAAAGAAACAGCAGCTCCAGGATTTGAAACGGATCATGTGTAGTATCCATTAGAGGAAGAGATCGCCCCGACCACTTCTCAACTCGAAACATTGCTTTTCACAAAGACTACGTAGGGGAAATGGGAAATATTTCAACTGCCTTTGTTCTATTTTGCACCCGCATTAGGCATTTTTCGGTTCTGGTTCTCCTACGGGCTGCGAGTAGGTGCCCTAAGCAGGATTTTTTTTTTTATTTCTGTGTGTGTGTGCGTGAGGGGGCTAGTTTGAACGGAGGACTCACAAAGCTACATTCTGCTTCCTCAAACTTCTCCCCGAATGGCCTTTGTCACGCACTGTGGCTTCCCTGGAGCTTCCCACTCCCAGTCCCAGCGCGAAAAAAAAAGGACATTCCACAGAAACTGTACATAGAAAGTGATTGACCTCGTTTCCTACAGCCCCGCAAGAATCTTTCTTTTTTCCGTTCGAAAAAAAAAAAGCAAACTTTATTTTTGTTATTTCATTTTAAAAAAGGCGTGTGCCAGGGGGGGGGGGGGGGGGGGTTCCCGTGGACAAATTGTAACGGTTACAAGTAATTTTATTACTTCAAAAAGTAATCAGACTACTCTTGTGATTACTGCCTAATAAAAGTAATCAACTGATTACAAAATTACTCCAAGAAGTAATCGATTACAAGTAATTTGATTACTTGTAATGCGTACGGTACAAGTCTGGTTGTAAGCAATGAAACCACCGCCACGAGTGCACAAATATGGCGTCGGTTTATAGCAGACCACCGAATCGCGCACGATTATGGGAACGTAGCGGTCGCGTGTCGCTCCCGATCAGGGTGTAAGATAGACAGGTGGGGAAACGAAAGCCAAATGAGTGACCGCATTGTGTCCCCCTCGGTTTTCTCTTTTTTTTGTGGCGCCATCTATGTGGAGCACCGCGAACTCTCACTCCGGGTGGGCGACCGATGGCGACCGGCTAAACTGACGGAGATGGTTTTTTGTGGATTTTTAATGAAAGACTGTCGTGCTCTCGGTTTATTTTGCGCAGTCTCCCATAGAGTTCCACGCAAATTCGATTCCAATTTTTTTCCTCTCGCCGCAGCGCCATCTGTCGGAAGTCGGGGGTACCCGCAAGCAGACGAGTACACAATCCGGTCACGGCGCTGCGGTAGCCTTCTATGGGCCGTTTCCCCACCTGTCTATCTTACACCCTGCCCCCGATTCCATTAAAGGGAGGGAAAAGAGAACTTTAGAGAGGGAAAGAGCATGGCCGAGGAGAAATTTCGCTTCCCATTTCAGACGATGATTTGTTTGACCTTTCAGTATATACACCTTTCCAGGGCGTATCAACGAGGCAAAGAATGCTGAGTCACTGGGCTGTGGACGCATGCGCGGCGTCTGATCTTTTGTGGGAGAGGGCTACTGAGCACGCTCGGAACGAATTCCATAGCCCAATTGACAAAGATTGTAGCGACCAAAAGACGATTATTTCAAAGGTCTATAGGGACCTTAGTGCTGCTCTACACTGGTCGAGACGCGCAGCACACGTGCCTCATACTTCCTTCCGCCGTGCTTCGCTCCATCCTGCGAGCCTGGAGGCCAGGCTGCGCTATCGAAACGATGCTCTCCGAGAAAAAACGGAAACCTAGAAACCTGTCCAAATCCAGTTTTTTGGAACGCCGTAAAATGCTGCCTTTGCCTTCGATTACTAAACTTAGCTGATTTAGGGTTATTGAAAGAGGCTTAGCAAGTTTCTCATTTAAGCCACATGTTTATTTTCAATCATTAAAAAGTTAGTTACCAAATATTACTTAATAACTCAGCTAATTACTATGTTTTCAGCAATTCTTGACGTCTTCCGTGCTTGGCAGTCTCTTCCCGGAAAGAGTTTCTTTTTTTCGCACCCACCCTTTTTTAGTCGATTTTTGGAAGCCTTCTCTGAACACCATGCATGCCAAAAAATGAATGAAGCAAGAATGATTAATAAAAACGTACACTTTCGGAATCGCCAATGCGTAAAAATAGCAGTAGTTTGTGTTCCACAACTGTATAACGTGACATTGATAGTTTCGCAATAATTTAAGAATAT